TTGCTATTGCTATTCGTTTCAGCCCCTCTGCTTCTCTTCTTGCATCATCTGCCCGCCCTTGGAACATCTCTGCCTCTGCTTGCTTCAGTCTCACGATGCTCTCCAGTTCTTCGAAACGAGGTTCCTTTTGAGATCCCCTTTTCAAACCCGCCTCCACTCCACATATTTCAGCTTGTTTCTCTCTGTGGAACACATCAACTATGCTTGCTGACCTTTTCAGCTGATGATGCGGTTTGTCTGAGCACACCGATCTCAGCCACGCCGTGTCCTGACCAGGGCTTCCCCTCTCATGCCTGGGTTTTGGCTGTTCATATCTGAACGGTGCGCAAGTTTCACCAGGTGTAGCGGAATCACAATCTGCAATCACCGAGCAAAGTATTGACTTAAGTGATGATCAGCAATGAGCCTTTTTTCACAAGGAACATCTATGGTGCAGATATCAAAAGTATTTAACCAGTATGTGTTCACATGCACACACGGACACACCGTGTGATCATCTATGTTAACGAGATAGATATAGCTATAGATACAAAACCAGATAAAGCTCATTTTTAAACAATTATACACACCTGAAATGAAACCCAATATCCGATTGCAAGCTTGGGGAAGGTCTATCGATTTACTTTTCAAACTTGCCAGCATCACATCAGCAGCTTGTCTCAGCTGTTTTCCTCTAGAGTCTTTGCTTGATGAAAATATCTTATTGACATACTCTAGTTCCTTGCAAAATCGCTCAAATTTCCATTCCCTAGCAAAATTCAGAAAGACTTCTTTGACAAAGCCAAACATCTCCGAGGGATGGTCACATGCAACACAGTGGAATTGCATCTCGGACATTCCTGGAGTACCAGAAGCATTGTTCCCATTCCGGATGTAAGATTCTCGTATCCCGCAATCTGTGTGGCACCAGTGAAGACACACATCACACCCAACCCAGCTGCAGGTGTTGGATGCCATATCAAAATTTGAGCACACAAGGCACATGCAAGCACTACAAAATCCATCTTTCCTTGAACAAACCCTGCAATCGCATTCATCCACAGGCACGGGAACCATACAAGTAAGATTTTTGCATCTCGTGTTCATGTAGATCTCAGCTAAATGGGAAGAAGAGATGCTGTTCTCCAGCTGAAGGAAATCGCAACGTCCAGTTTTCAGAGCGACCAAGATCTCCAACTGAACACGATGAGATTTTGTAAGCAATTCCAATGTTATATCAGTCCTGTTTTGCAGAGCATCTTGAAAAGCACCAAGTTGTACATTCTTATCCATGTCCAGCATCATCTGCCGGATGTTTTCCTTCAGGCTAGTTACATATCGAGTGGGCATCTCATGAAATCTCTTGGTCATCACATGCATAGAATCGGAGAGAATGTATCTTATGACCGTCTCAACAAAATCATCCCCACCAGCTTCCAGGCCACTTTTCCAGGAGATGCTGCCACCGAAAAAGTCCTTGGCTTTTCTCTTCTCAGCATTAAACTTTGAACCATTTTCGAGTGTGCCCGTTCTTGGACATGCTGATCCAACATCAACACTTCTCTGGAAACTCAATTGTTTCTCAAGCCTATTTGCTGCCTTAGAGCTCCCATCGGTCAATCTAAGAAGCTCTTCATCAGCTTGACCTGGAATTAAAATGCCTTTCATTGCTTGAGGTTGAACTGAACCGTTTCCACTTTCCATCAGTCTTTGATAGACTGTATTCTCATTGTACCTTGAATCATTATGAGACAGTGCTTGCCAATCTATACCCTGAAATATAGGTCGGCTATGAACTGACTGTTCATTATCTCCAATATTGTGATTCAACGAACAGCTTGGATTATGATTAAACGAACGGGAGCCTGAAAAGGACATAGACATGGTGAAGCCATCAGAATTGGTACAAAACGTGTCTGTCAAGGACCGAACACTTCCAGAACGGACTGGTGAACCCAGAGGCTGATTAGTATCCTGGCCACCAATCGGCAATAATACATCTGGTAGGCTAAGTGACAAATCCAGTGGCTCCAACAACAATTTTTCATCCTTTGGCTTATTGGCAACTGACTGCTCAGCTTTATCTATTTTTCTAACCGGAGAACTAGAAAACAGCTCAAACCCTCTGTTACTTGGTCCTCCAAAGTTGTCATCTTCATCTTTATCCCTGTCAGTAAGATCCTCAGACTTTCCCTCAGAAAAGAGAGCATTTCCAAGAAAATGAGTAAATGGGACATCAAAATTTTTGCCTTTATCCTCGCAATTGTGAACAGAGCTATCCGATACAATGCTAATGTATTCTGATGGGAATCTATTACCTAGAGCACTTTCCTCAACACATTTCGGGGATTCAACTTCCTCTTTGTTGGCATCACCATCACTACCCTTCACTCGGACAAGCTCTTGTGCATGAAACCGTTCAGGAACAGCTGGATGAAGACTTTCTTCCAACTTCACTTCATGGTTCTCCTTATAGTTTTCTTCTTTGTCACCTTTAGCATCGACCATATCTGTAATCTCATTGACACCAGCAGTGTTTCTATCATCTCTAAGCTCGTGTTCACTAGCCAAAGCTGTACAAGTATCACTCGTGTTGTTTTCAGAAACATGCATGCTCTCAGTCGCATGCTCAGGCACATTTTCCCCTTTCTCAAAACTTTTCTGATCCGTCATGCTCTCAGCCGATTTCATTTCCCTATCACCACCCACATGATTGACTTCCCTGTTACTTTCAGTTTTGGCTTTTCTCAAGTTATCATCAAACTGAGCATCTTTTTTCATATCCCGGAAGCTACTATCAATCCTTGCCTTGTTATGATCATCAGCAGAAGGTTCTTTACTGTCATCTGTGGTATGAGCAGGCCCGGATGCGGTCTCTATTTGGGGATCTGGCTCCAGCTCTCCTTCCTCCATCTCGCTACTGCTTCTACTGCTCTTACCCTGCACTTCCACCTTGCTTTTCTTCACAACATTTCCAACACTCTTAGATTGTTCACTCCCGGAATCTTTGGACCATGTTGGAGAAGCTAGAGATTTGGATTTGGATCTGGAGCGGGAGTTTCTGGAATCCACCTTGAGTTTCGATTGGTCGTTACCGGACCAACTAGGGGATTTGACACTCCTTTCCTTCTCTCGATCCTTTAATCTCAAGCCCCTTTCCCCGCCAAAGTCATTCCCAGTACCAGGACCACCGAACCTCCTCCAGGAAGACACACTAGCTTCCCTTTTGGGCCTCTCCCTCTCAGAACGAAATCCTTTTGGAAAAGCCCTCCTCGAGAAACAAGCGCTCTCAGATCGGTGGAGCCTGTCCTCCCTGTACCGGACATCCGGCTCTTTCCTTCGATTATCGAAGTCACGACTTGATCGCCTACCGGACACAAACGGCTGGCGGTCGTATCTGGAAGGGGAGATGGGTCCGTTGCGAGCCGAGAAGGACTTGTGGAAAAAGCCCCGGTGGGAGGAAGAAGCCGGGCGGTCGGAGTTGAGAGGTTCTCCTCCGTCCACATGATAGGAATCGAGATCATCGCTGGATCTTAGTCTCTTCATCCTTTTAGTGGCGATTTAGATGACGCTGCGAGAGAAATCGCAAGTGAATCCGGAAAAGAGAGCTCTTAGGGTTTTGGTTTTGGAGAATCGGGAAATGAAGTGGTAATCGGAGAAAACGTACAAGAGGAGGAAGGGAAAAGAGAGTACCTGGAGCATGTCGG